TTTTAAATAATTATTTATAATTTTTAATATTTTTTTATATATAATTATTAGAGATATAAAATATCTCGACTATGACAAGAATAAAGTGATTCATCTAATTATCTAATTATAACTTCCAAGAAATGTTAGTTGTGTATCTGAGTTTAAAAGTCGCTGAAATGTGTGAACTTATCTTTTATCGTACCTTTCACATCAAGTTTGAGTTTGTCTCCCATGTGTGACCGTGTAACCACTCTACTTTAGGTACCCATGTTTTAAGAGTATGAGACAAACCGAAAAATTAAGAGTCGTTCTTTATTAGTATTTCAAAATGTAAATAATTTTTAACAGACTGATTTGATGGCAAATTTTATCAACAGAACAAATTGAGACACTAATTCCATGTTGAATTCTTTGTAGAACTAGAATGGTGATAAAAAGAATATGTGTGAAGAACTTATTTGAGAATCAAGATTTATTAGAGGGTAATCATATGTGTAATTTTGGACAAAAAAATAATTCTAAAATAGAGACCTATGTTTTTAATATATGTTTGTGGTGGGGTGATTATTTTTTGACAATAACAAAAATTAAGGAGAAAAAAGTTGTTATTTTTTTTGGGTGAATGAAAAAAGAAGAAAGTTTTCATTTGTTTCAGTTATTTAATTTATATATATTAATAAAGGAAGAGGTGCTTTTTGTCTTTATATATTTATTTTTAAAGAAAATTTAAAAGAAAAATTTTTGTTAAATTTAAAGATAATGATATTTAATATAAAAGTAAAAATTTATTTTAAAAAAATTAAATTTTTAAAAAATTTAAAAATAATAATATTAAATATAAAAATGAAAATTAAAGAAGTGATTACTAACCCCAAACCGTGTGGTTCAGCGGCAGAAGTTGATTCACGCTTAAACAAAGTCAGGGGTTTGAATCCTGCCTGCTGTATGCAGCCGTGTCAAATCTTGGGGCCAGCTATCTCACCCTTTGAAGTGCCTCCAACGTATAATTACTAAAATCTATTTTTTAAACTTTTTAATAGGTATAGATATATAAAAATGAATGAAAGAATTAATACGTAACGTGTAGTTTGCAACACAGCCTTTATATCCAGTAGAAATTCAAAGTCGGTAGCCTCATTAATCATTGTATAAGAGTCAAAAGATTCCTTCATGATTTCACACTGCCGATAATTTAAAACCAATAATATTTCTTGTTTTTGTTTTTGCTTTTAAATGAAAAACAAATATTAATTGTACTACCCATAACATCTCAATCTTATCAAATCGTAACTAAAATCTCAATCTTATCAAATCGTAACTGATTCTATTATTAATCATGAAAAAAATTTTAACCTACATTAATGTAGATGCATTATATATATGAGACTTACATACCTACAAAAACTAACTTAAACATTAGAATCTTTTTTGCAGGTACTAATTCCATCTCGAAGCAACCGACATACCAAGCAGAAGAGACTCGCCAATCTTACCCAAAATCGTCGTAAGAACATTAACAATTCATTCTTTAATATATTTTTAATATGAGTTAAAATTTATTAAAAAATTATAAATAAAAAATTCAATAATTAAAATATGATTTCTATCAATTTTATTTTTTTCAATAAATATTAATCAATCAAATAGTGTAATTAATACATATATCAAAAGATGTGTTGCTAAAAATTTTTATTTATAGGCAAAATGATGTTTATATATAGCCGTCAACAAGCTTGGTTTAGAAAATAATTTATCCTTTAATTTTTAAAATTATCTTTACGATGAGCACAAAATTAATTTTTATAAAACAAACAATTATGGTTGTATGAAAATACGTTAAAACTAAGAGGGAGAGTGAACATAGCTAATAAGGTTGGTTTTTAATTTCTTTTTTTTTTTTTTGGTATTAATAAGGTTGGTTGTTAGGTAGTGTAGAAATGCTGAAGATGTGGGTCCACCAATTTAAATTTTAACGCTGAAATAAGTGAAAATGGTGAAGAAATGGCTATGTTTTTTATATTTCGTAGCAGTTTTTACTTAACAGCCAAATTTCGTACATTTATAACATTTTTATTATTATTTATGGTGGTCAAGAGTCGTACTTTTTTGAAAAATAAATTAGCAACTACTGGTGGGTTGCAACAGATTAAAAAATAAATAATTTAATTGATTAAAATTTAAAACGTCCGTATGATTAAAAAGTAAAATTATTAAATTTATTTTTTATTTTTTATTTTCTATTTCTCTTAAACAAAATAATCAAACTTTTGTGATAAAAAAAGAAAAGAAAAGGAAAGAAAATGTTAATGTGACACCTTCTACCCCAATATTAATACACAATAAGTGTAAACAATAATAATTTTTTTCTTTTTAAGTAAATAAATTAGACCCAAACAAGTAATGTCTCCACAACTTAAGTACAAATACTATTGTAGCTAACTCAAGGTCATGGGTAGGATAGTTTTGCTCATGAATTTTAAGTTGTCTAGAAGCCATACGGAAGTTTCACATTTCATCACTAGTGACCCTAAGGTACACCTTGTTAGCTTGTTACATCACTGGTGACCCAAAGGTACACCTGGTTACACCACTGGTGATCCTAAGGCATACCTTGTTAGCTGGTTACATCACTGGTATGCGGCCTCAGCGGCACACCTGGAGTTATATATGTATATGATGCATGTCATACATTCATTATTTCATTGACTCAACATTTGACTTATTACAGAATTTCATTTAGTACATCATGTCATCGTTTTTCATATTCTCATAATCATAACTTGTCTCAATAGTCCATTCTTATGTCTCATGTCATTTGTGCATATTTCACATAGTCATGTCATAATTATTCCTCATAAGGTCCGCACAGGAATCCACAGAGAGCATTCTTATTCATATTAAAACTTATTTATTTTTAACATTAATTACATATTCATTTATTACTTCTAACAAGGAACAAAGTAGAGTAAACAGAAAATAAAACAGAATACATTAATATTTTGCATGTTCCTAGAAGCATGCAACAGGCAAGGGATTGGGGGCCAATCCGACAATCATACTATTCAACAATTATTCCCACACCCCCGAGCGAGGTTTCTCACT